CGACTCTGCATCAATCCCTTCCTTATTTCTTAACTATTTGTTCGTTAATTGCCATATTTGTTAATTTAGATAAATAAACTATACGAAAACATTCTCACAATTTTGTATGAGTTTTCTTTTTACAAATATGATAAAGTTCATAAAGAATAAAGAAAAAAATACTATAGTGAAGTGTTTAAGTAGATAAATATTACAACTAGTTTAATGGACAATTTAGAGGGATAAATTAAGATAAAGAAAAAAGTTTAAGGGATAAAATGATTTTTGTCCAAAAATAATTGTTAAAAAACTTCTATAATATTTAATTTCAATATGAAAATCACTAGTTCCTAGGATGGTTAATGAGTTGAATTTTAATATAAATTTGATCCGAATTTTAAACTCTTTAATTGATTAAAATATCCTATAAATTAAATCCAATTATAAATATATATAATCTGGAATAAGTGGACCAGATATAAAATTAATAAACTCGATTTGTTAAAAATCTGAATTCAAATATTTTAATAATATTTTTAATTAATAATCATATATGTTAATAAATACTTTTATATATAATGTAATATATGTGACATTATAATTAATAATGCATTAATTTGTATTTGTGAGGTATTTTATTTAATAGAATAATATATATTTTTAAAAATTTTTCTAGAATATTCTTTATTTTTCATAATTTTAGTTTTTCTATTAAGTATTATATTTAATAATTAATTACTTTTAAAATTCAAAAAAAACGCTTGAATAAATTAATTACAAAATTTTATAAGTTTTAACTATAATACGAATAATACTTGATAATTTTATAAAGTACTAGAATCCTGTTATAACTTTTGTAATATATTATATAACAAAGTTATTCTTAATTATTTATAAATAATAATTTATTGCTAAATTGTATTTATATTTTAATAAAATTAAAATAATTAAACATAAATATTACAGAAATTTAAATATCTAATAAGCTATTTTTTTAAATTATGTCTGTTACTTATTGATTATTTTATTTTAATTATTGTTAATTGATATTTAGATCGAATTTCAAATTTTTATTTGATTCAGGCATAGTAGTGATAGATAGAGATCTTATATGATCTTTGATTGGATTCGATTATACACATTTGTAATTAGATTCAGATTCAGATTATCCTAATTTAAGTCAAATCTGATCCGTTTACAACCCTATTATTTCCCCAACCAAGATTCTTTACCTCCAGTTCACAAATGAAAACCCTCTTAGGATGAGGTGAAAACTAGAAGAGTCTTGTTGTGCTTCTCTCTTTATAATTTGAATTTTATAAATGCAATGTAGAGAAATGATTGTTAAATTTTATGAGATAAAATATATAAAAAGGAAGATTAATTAGAGCTTTCTAATTCTTGCTACATCCCCAATTTCCTTTAATATTATTAGAAAATACCTCTCAAATTTGTGTCATAAATGAATCTAATCTAGTTTTAATGATTTGTCATTATACTTTTCTTTTTTATTTTATTTTTTTGGTAAAAGTGGGAGCCAAGGCCCAAAGAAACAATCACAACAACTAACTACTAGAACCTAGAGGAGTACATACTCCTATATAATCGCTAAGATATATTTTCTTATTTTGACTGGGCGGGTTAGCACAAACCATTACATCTTTCTCTTTGAAAAGCCCTAACATGGTCAATTTATTTGTACAAACATTGGCTTTTTTGTAAAATTGCTGGATTTCAATTTGATTCCTTCAAGAAGGAGGAACCCAATCTTGTTTATCACTGGGATCTACTTCATTTCCCTGGATTGTGACTTAATTATCAACTCAACCATCATTTTGAAGTTGATCTCAACAGTAATCTTTCTGTAATCCATATGCCAGGCCATTTGTAAACCCTTCTAAACTTCCCAAATCCCAGCTATTAATACCAATGTTTTAAAACTCGGACCGAACCGGCCAATTCGACCTGTTCGACCGTGAATCGATCTCAAAAACGGTCCAGGTGATACCCTAAAACTAGAAATAGAGTTGGACCGGTCAAAAACTAGTGAAACCAGCCGATTTTTGCCGGTTCAAACCTCGCCCGCCCCTCTGTGCCTCTCTCTTTCTTCTGCCTCCCCCAGGTCCGACCAACGGTTCAAAACTTCAAATCATTTTAAAAATTAAAACCCCCCTGACCCACCTCCCTTTCCCCCTCCCCCCCCCCACACTCTTTCTCTCCCCCCTCCCCTATTTTTGGTTTAAAAAATTAAACCACCCTTCCCTCCCCCGCCTCACTCTCCCTCTCTCTCTCTCTCTCTCCTCCTTCAAAATTTTCAAACCCATCCCTCCCCCCCTCTCTCTCTCTTCCCCCCTCCCTCCCTCACTCGCTCGCCTCAAGTTACATAAAAAGTTTTAGAAAAAAATATAATTGCCAAATTTTTTACCATATATTTTATTTTATTTAAATATTAAAAAACAAAAAATTAAAAGAGTATAAAATAGTAAAAATTAAAATTTTAAAAATATCATTTATTAAATTTTTATTTAAAATTATACATATATGTGAATATATACTTTTAATTTTGAAATAAACATATAATAATATAAAATATATTAATGTTGCCAACTTGCCATATCACATATAATTTACAAAATTTAAATAAAAATATACAAATAGATTATTTTAAATTTATTAAATTTTTAACTTATTATTTAAATAATTTTTATTATTAACCGATTCGACCACCAGTTAAACCGGTTGAACCGGTTGGACTGTGACTCAGTGATCTCACCAGTTTGATCACCGGTCCAATTTTTAAAACATTGGTTAATACGTCTACATATCCCAGAAAACTTGAAGAAACTCGTTATCCAACTTCCATTATGGTCTCTAATGAGACCACCATATCCTGCCTTGTTATTGTTGATTGCTCTATTTGTATTGAGTTTTACTCGGCGAAGAGGAGAAGGGGACCAATTAGTGAGGGATCGATCATCGACTTTTCTAATAGATCTTAGGGTGACTCTAAACTCCTTGTACGCCCAAACCCCTATCTATAACCTTTAGAGGAATAGACGACCTTTGAGTGTTTTCTTCAAACAGACTTTGATTTCTCCACCGCTAAATATTTCAATTGGTGATGGCCCCACTTGTCCATCCATCTAAAACTAGTAGCCTTTCTTTTAAATGATAGATTACTGAAACACCATTTTTCAAGACTCAACGTAAAGAAGTATGGTCTTTTAGAAAAAAAAATAAGGTTCACCCAAATATTTGCCACTACTGAACAATTTCCAAGGGCATGAAAGACTAAGAATGTTGTTCACTTATTTAAATCTATATCCATTCATTTATTTATACTTTTCATATGAAACTTTGGGAATTGATTATTTCGAGGTGGCATGGGTGAATTTTATTTCTTTTTATTTTTCTATGAAGTTCTCTTTAAGACAATATTAATTTCATGGTCCCTCACTCCCTTTATTTCAAATTCTAGCACATTTCTTATAGTTTGTCCAAAAGGGTTATTAGACAGATAAAATAAGGATAAATTATTCATCCTTATTTACCATTATTCAATGTTCAGCAAGTTTTATAATGAAATCGAATAAAAATTTTAAATAGAATAACTATCTAATTAGATTTAGATAAATTATACGAAGCGTGTGAAATAATTTTATCTAATTTTTTTGAACAATATTGGCTTTACTATTTCAAATCAATTTACTAAAATATAAACTGTCAATTGGTAGCACTAGTTGCTACCACTACCACCGTTGCCCATTGCTATCTGCCATTAAAAGATATTTTGGTAACTTACGTATTTATTAGTAGTTTATTGAAACTTAAGATAAAATTTATAGAATGGGTTGTAATAAATCAAAACATAAAATTGTAAAGAATGATGGCCTCTCTTGGAAGGGCTTTTAGTAAATTGTATTTTAATACGAATCTGATTTGAATTTTAGGAGTTGAATTTTGTTAAAATAGTTGATGAATCAAATTTGATTGTAAATATTTGTTTATTTGAAATAAATGAATGGATATAGAATTGAGTAATTTACTTTGTTGAAGATTCAAATCTAAATTTAATACTTTTATTAAATTAATAAATTTATATACATAATATTAATAAATTTAAATTCGTAGATCCTAAATTAAAAAATATAAATTTTTTTTATAAATTAATATAATTGATGAAATAAAATTGAAAAATTTATTTGTAAAAGAGTATAATTTTTTTACCAGATCAGATTTTTATTAGATTTTGAAATATTTATTAAAGTCAAAAATTAATTTATAAACATAAATTTTATAAAATTTCAAATTAAACATATATAAATAGATAATCACGTTTAAATTCAAATAAATTTGATTTGATATAAACTCACAGATTGATAGCCCTGTCCTGGGAATTTTCTTTTTGAGATGGATACCTCTCTTATTTAATGCAATCACTTACATAGAAAAAAAGAAAAAGAAAAAGAAAAAAAGAAGACTGATTTCCTGCAAGGGGAATCTAAAGCGCCCTACACCGACTCCCCCCAGCAAGGAGCCGAACAACACCACATGACTCTGCTCTTCCTCGATAGTACGCCCAAACAAAATAGTTATACTTCGACGAATATAATATCGTTTTCTTTAAAAAAGAAAATTATAATATCATTACTTTAAAAAATAAATAAAAATAAATTTTTTTTTTCAAAACAAAAAGCCCCACCCCGGCATTTATCAGTCTCTGCCATTTTCTTTGTATTTGGCACCTTCCCCTCCAAACTCCATTTATAGTTGCTCTAGTTCTTCCCCTTCCCACAGTTCTCTATCTCTATTCTCTCCTCTTCCATCTTCGTCTTCCTGTTTCTGAATTTTTATCAGAAATTTTTGTCTGATAAAAATTACAGATTCAGACCCAACATTGCCATTTTTTTTCATATACATAGATTAGTCGTGGCACAGATCTGTGTATTTGCTTTGGGTTTCTTTAAATTGCCAGTAGATTTGTTTTCTGTTTTGCAATTTTCTGTGTTTGGAAAATGCAGAGGATTGCGAGGCTTTGTTCTACTACTTCTCTGTTCTTTCTTCTTCACCTTCTACCTCTGGCTTTTGCCGGCCATGACTACGGCGACGCTCTGAGTAAAAGCATTTCTTCTTCGAAGCTCAGAGATCTGGGTACCTTCCCAGCACTCAGAGAGTCAAGTGGAGGAGCCATTCTGGTCTCAACGATGGCAAGGCCAGTGGGGTACGTTACTCTGTAATTCTATTTCCAGTTTTTGATTTTGGTGAGAATACTGGTGGTAGAATTTTCTTTTCTAGTAAAAAAGTTACTGATAATTCTGAAAATGACTTATCTCTTGTTTCCCGAAATGGCAACGTTTCTGAAACTTTTCTCTGAAAACAGAATTCTAAAGCAACTTGCAGAATGGGTTTCTTGTTAAACAGGTCCATTCTAAAGAAAATTTTACTAAAACAGCTTTCAGAAACAACTTTTTCCAACTGGATTTTCTGTTTTTTGAAATGGTTTCTGTTTCCAAAAACAAATCGGAACGTGCCACTTTTCAGATATTATGATGAAATCCCAATTTGTGAGAAGACGGGTAGACGATTTAATTTGCCATTACATTCCTAAGATTACGATGAATTGCAATGTGGTCGAATTATGAATTGTTGCAGAAAAATGGAAGGTCAAAAATAAAATAAAATAAAATAAATCAAAGAGTCGAGTGCTCAAGAGAATTTTTAGCTGAAAATCCTACTTGAAATAGTTTTTCTAAAGAGAACTGCTACGGAAACAGAACTGTTCTCAAAAACAAATTCGAACATGTAAAAACTTTCACCAAGACTACCTTAGTATATTGTTGCATTGAGATTTCTATGAATTGCCCTGTGGTTGGAGTCATGAGTTGTTGCAGAAACCGGAAACGTGTTTTCTGAAAACGTGTGAATTATGTTATGCTGCAGGTGAATCTGGTGGGGGGTTACTACGACGCAGGGGACAATGTGAAGTTTGGGTTTCCGATGGCGTTCACAGTTACAATGATGTCGTGGAGCATAGTCGAGTACCGCGGCAATTGCTGCGAGTGGTGAGCTCCGCCACGCCATGGATGCTGTCAAGTGGGGCACAGACTACCTCATTAAAGCTCACTCAAGTCCGATGTCCTATATGGAGAGGTATACACGTATATATATTTTGGAACTGTGTTCATATTTTAAATTTTAAAAATTAAATATACTAAAAACTAGGAATTATTATAGCTTAATTACTGACTTTTAACTTTTTTCTTTAAGTTTACGAGCTTAAAAATGAATAAAATTGAAAAATATCAACTAATAAACAGTCTCTTTTCTCTATTAGATTGTGTTTACTCTCCCTTTTGAATTTAAGTATTTAAATTTAAAATATAAGACACTTTTATTTGACACTTCAAGTGGTCAACAGCTTGTTTAACTATTTGTTTAAAAAATAATAACAAATAACCAAGCTAATAAATAAAACAGAAATATAAAAAAATAAATTGGTTTATCCTAAATTGTTTTTAATTATTATATTGCTGCTTATTACTATTAAATAAATAAAATGAAATGAAATTTAATTTGTGGGTTGCTTTTGATTGTCCTTTCAATGGGATTATCTGCATTCCTAATTATAATCAAAACCATATTTAAGGCCATGTGAATGTGTTGTTTGTTTCTGTTTTCTGTTTGATTGGATTAAGGTCGGAGATGGGAACACAGACCACTACTGCTGCAGAGGCCAGAGGACATGACGACCTCCCGGGGAGCCTACAAGATCGACCCCAACCACCCCGGATCCGACCTCGCCGGCGAGACCGCCGCCGCTATGGCCGCCGCCTCCGTTGTCTTCCGTCGCCGTAACCCCTCTTACGCCAAGTTACTTCTCATCCACGCGCAGCAGGTTTATCCCTATTCTCTCTCACATACTGATACTGTCACTGTTACTCGCCGTGTTATAATCGGCGCGTGTTAGCAAATTGCGGGAGCGCGTATTTTAGCGAGGAAATCGTAACTAACATGCAGTTACGAGTTTTTGTTACTTTGTTGCCCGACTGGCGTTGTTGCCAGCACGCGTTAGCAGTGCCCTTCAATTATGATTCCGTCGCACATAGTGTCCCCGGCATACTGGCACGATATTTGGCGCAAATTAGCAAGTTTTCAAAGAAAATGATTTTTGATTTCTTCCAAATAATGGAAATTTCTTCCAAAAAATATGAAAAATCAGTTTGTGTGCGCTAATACATGCTCAGTTGTTTGATTTTGATAAATAATTTTGAAATTGATTTTTTTAAAAATATTTTATTTATTTATTTAAAATTTTAACGCATCACAAAAGAAATCAGAATTTTAACCTCTTAATTTTCAAATTATTTGTCAGCAATAGCAGTTGATTAACTATTTTTCGAACAGGGAACCATCTGAATTGACAAAATCTCGACCGTTATGTTCTTCCAGAAAATTAAACCTTTTGAAAACTAAAACTTAAATATTTTAATGTGGTAATTTTTTTAGGTAAATTTTAAATTGAGAATTTAAAATTATCTCAATGGGAAAAGAAAAAAATATTAATAATTTGAAATAGAGAGAAACGGCGATATATAAATTCGTGTCAACTTCCGCCCCGTACTCTAACATCTTGGCAGCCCACGTGGACGGTCCAACAAATATGCAGCTACTTGTTGTCTCTCACGTGTGAGAAGCCTCTCGGTGGCTTGTCATATTCCAGATTTAACCTTCTAAAATACCCATACTTTCGAATTTATCCCCTAATTTTTAACGCCCTCTCTGTCCTTGTTTGGCTTGGTTCCAGCTGTTCCAATTTGCGGACAAGTTCAGGGGCAAATACGACAGCAGCATTGCGGTGGCCCAGAAGTACTACCGATCCGTCAGTGGATACGCGGTACGTGATTACAGCTCCTAACTATCAACTAACTCTAGTGCAAAAGACTCGGTTCGGTATCGGGTCAAGTTTTGACCCGATCCGAACTTTAATTTTTTTATATAAACTATTTTTCAAAAATAATTAACTAGAAATTTTTTTTTTTTTGGGCAGGACGAACTGCTTTGGGCTGCTGCGTGGTTGTACAGGGCGACGAACAATAGGCACTACCTTAACTACTTGCCATCAACGGAGATGCGCTTGGTGGGACTAGTTGGGCCATGACTGAGTTCTCCTGGGATGTTAAGTATGCCGGAGTTCAGACTCTTGTTGCCAAGGTAAATGTTAGATTGGACGTGAAATTTGTCGTTAGGTGATTTTTGAATTGGAATTGGAACTAAATAATTGGGATATTTGGGTTCTTGCAGTTTCTAATGTCAGGGAAAGCTGGTCGCAATGCACGATCTTCCAACAGTACCAGCAGAAAGCTGAGTTTTTCATGTGCTCGTGCCTCGGAAAAGGAGGCCGGAATGTTCAGAAGACTCCGGCGGCCTGATTTTCAGGCAGAGATGGAACAACATGCAGTTTGTGACCAGTGCTTCCTTCCTCATGATTGTCTACTCTGACTATCTCACCTCCGCCAGAAAAAGCCTCAGCTGTGCTTCCGGCGGAGTTTCACCCTCACGAGCTTCTTGCTTTTTGCCAAGTCTCAGGTCTGACCAGGAAAATCACACCTCTTTTTTTATTTTTTAATTCTTTATTAATTTACTTAGTCTTTTTTATTCTTATTTTTTTAAATATTAAATTATGAAACGGGTCGAATCCTCAGGTGGACTATATATTGGGAGACAACCCGAGAGCCACAAGTTACATGGTGGGCTATGGAAGCAACTACCCCAACAAGAGTGCATCATAGAGCGGCTTCTATTGTGTCAATTAAGGTTAACCCTACGTTTGTGACCTGCAGAGGAGGCTACTCCACGTGGTACAGCCGCAAGGCCAACGACCCGAATCTCCTAATCGGAGCCCTCGTGGGCGGACCCGATGCTTATGACAATTTTGCAGACGAAAGAGACAATTTTTGAGCAAACAGAGCCTGCTACATACAACAATGCTCCTTTCTGGGCTTATTGGCTAGACTCCATGCGGGGTCACAGCGGCTACAACCAGCTTCTTGCAGGTATTTCTTGACTTAACGGGCCATGTTGGTAATAAGAATTACTCATATATTTTTATTATTTATCCAACTTTTTCATACCAACAATATTGAAAACTGAATTAAAGTTGGTAATAATGGTGATTCATTTGTCCCTGCAGAGGACATTCCAGTCCCTAAAGTACAGCTTAATCCTGCTCTATAGCCAAAAGCACACCGGGGAAAGGTATTCGTT